ATATATATATATATATATATATATATATATATATATATATAAACCTAGCTCCAGCTTTCAACCAATGCTGGAGTTTATCATTACTGCATCTTTTCTTTTGAAGAGTAGGCAATCAAAGGCTAGTATTGTGCTGATAGATAGAGCCAGGGAGGGAAAGCTCCCTTATTTTAGTTTTCCTGCAGAGAAATTTCAGCTCCAATATTAGTTGCAAACATCGATGAGCAAGCAGGTCATATATCATCTTCACGTAAATCACTGAACATCCCGTTATGTAAGTGCCAGGACTTAGGGGATAGATGAGGCAGAAGTTGGAGAGGTGGAGAAATAAAAAGGAACGACAACCACAAACGAAATATATTGAGAATATCTGAGAAGAGGACAAAGTCAGGACAGCATCTGTGTGATGATCACATGGAGATATTATTCAAATTGTGTTACATGTTGCTTTTGTCTTATCCCACAACATCCTGGGCTAAAATTAATGCCTTTATGTGACCAATGATTAATCATCTCTGAGGGTACCAGATACTCTCTGTCACACTAAAGACCAATTGCTCGCCAATTAAGGTGGCAGGAGATGCTTCCTACTGACAGGATGTTGCTCAATCAATCTCTAGCGTGAGAGGTATAAAAAAGTTTTGGTTTCCCCCTTCCCCACCCCAGAACTGCTCACTGTATTCAGCTTACAAAAACAATGAAAAATAAAGGACAATAATGTTTTGGGAAGCTCTAAGAGTCTGATGTGTGAGCCAGAATCTGATTCTGATCAGCACTCCAGAGATTGTGATGGGAGGGTCCAAGGAATTTAGGGACAGCAAGTGAGATATTTTGTAAGGGTCAAAAGTTGGATAATCATTCTTATGGACACAGCCAACTACTTTTGTTTTGGAAGACAGAGAGGCCTAGGTGTCATGTCACCAGGAGAGAAGGAATGAGCTAGGAAGAACCAGAAGGTGAATGTGTGTGATCTAGGAATGGAAAGAATATTTGCTGTTATTTATTTCCTGGCTGAAAAATGGTTTCTTGACATTTGGCACTAGGCAAACCTGGTCAGGAAGAATAACACAATGATGGGAATTCTGTGCAGTTTTCACTCAGTATTCCCATGCTGCAAAAAAGTTTTCCAGGAAATTATTATGTGCAGAAATGAAGGAGGAGGTGTTTTATTCCATGGAAATAATTTTTTTGTACAAAATGGGTTGTTGTTTTCAGTTCTATATCATAGTCTACATTGTGAATACTTAGCTATGTAACAGAGATCCTAAGAAGCCCTTATAGTGAATTGCAAAGTTGCATATCAGGGCACCAGCAAGAATGTCCTGATGTGCATCAGGCTTTACTGATGCTTATCAGAACTCCCTAGCTGGTGTCCCGATGTGCATCAGTCGTTATATACATCAATCACATTGTGCATTGATTCTGTTGTGTATCAGTCCCATTATGCTTCAGTCCCAATGCACGCTTTACTGTCACTTTACTGGCTCCCTTATATATTAAAGTAATAATAGTCCCTTGCTGAGTATGGATGTTGCAATACTGCTCAGTTCTATTTTCCACAGATATAAGTCCAGTTATGGTGATGTAAATCCCCAAGTGAATTCCCTAGTTTGTAGAGAACTACTTGTTTTTCGTGCAAGACTGCTGTTTTGTTGTGTGTGCATACACATACACAAAGAAAACATGTAGCTATCTGGAAACAGCATGCACGCACGCACACACCCACACACACACCTTGCATACAATTAAAAAAATCTGCATGGGTTCTTTGCTCATGGTTGCTTTTTTTTTTTTTGCATCCCCCTTCACAAAAAAGCAGCAGCAACAATTACAAACAGCAATCTTCCAAAAAATGTACATGTAGCTATTTGAAAATAGTGGTTTTTTGCACAGAATCCCATGTGTATTTTCTGAGCAGAATAATTTCTCAAAACACTTCAGGATATTTGAATACCAGGCGAGAACTGTGCAGATGTATTTGTTCACTCTACAGCAGGGAGAAAACTGTGGAAATTATTTGTCCTCACTTGTTGAATATTTACATCCCTAGTGTGACCTCTATATCTCTGAGCTGAATGAAAATGAACTAGTTTTTCCAACTGCCTTGA